GCAGCTGACCCCAAGGTTGGAGGAGTGTTGATGCCAGCCCAGAGTGATTATAGGTTGCCCGGAGAGGTGGTACAGACCCCTTCTCTGGAGATATTCAAGATCCACTTGGATGCTTTCCTGCGTAACCTACTGTAGGGAACTGCTTCAGCAGGGGGTTGGGTTGAGAGATCTCTAAAGATTCCTTCCAACCCCTGCCATTCTATGATTCTGTGATTTCAGAGGGCTGAGTGCCTGCAGGGCTGTCCTGGACATCAGGATTTTCTGCTGAATTCTGTAGGGATGCTTTGAGCATGGGATTGGATTCACTGTATACCAACATCAAGAGAAATACATACAATCAGGGACAAGACTTGTTTAGAAGAGCAAAAAGGAAATAAAACCCAATGTTTTATACAAGTCCCCTCCCCAGTACAGCTACCAGGACCCCCACAAGTTTTGCAAGGTGATCTAAACCAGATTGCAGCAATATGCTGACCCTGCGTGGTTAAAAGCAGAGCCAGTTGACAGCACTTTAAGTTGTTTAGTGCTTTTAAAAGACAACATGAGCAAAAAAGGCAAATTCCAGGCATTGCACAGAGCCCGTCTGCTCCGTGCTGCACTTGCTCTGTGTAAGAAGGACAGGAATTCAGAATGATGGCTCAGTGTGAAATTGTTCAAGTTAGGAATTTATTCCGTGGTGGAAGCACTGCTTCTTTTTATTAATATCATTATTTTTGTTCCACCACTGCTTCTTTTTTTTCAGCATCTTTTCAATGGTGATTTAAAAACAAACAAACAAACAAACAAAAGGTTAGTTGTATCTTTTCTTGGGAAGGGATGGAATTCTAAAATGGTAATTTAAGCAATTTTGTTCACACGCGATTCACAAGCATTCTGGAGGAAAGATGATTAGAGACAGTGTTTCTCACTTGGCTGAACATATCTCCTGCAATGATTTAGCTGTTCTTGCTCTCCTTTGATTACATAACATGAATTTTACACTACTTTGGGCGTTTTGATGGTTGAAAAAATTGCTTGCATACTGTGGTCAAAATGAGCCTCGGTGCTGGGTTGAGTATTAGCTGCTGCAAGATAGGGTAAAATTAAAGTCTTGCTGCTGTATAGCATGAGTTCCTTTATACATCAGAGCCTTTTTGCAGAGTAGAAGTGCAGGAACAGCAAATACAGTGCCTTTAACAATTGTTTACCTCAGCTGCGTTCTCCAAATCTGTAATTCTGCTATGTGCACTTAATATCCTTATTCCTTGCCATCTGTATTAACTTTATAAGTGAGAGTTATGTAGGCTAATAAAGAGCTTGCTGACTTCTGAAGATGAACCTAGCAGCTCCTGAGCCCTGCTTCCCTGCTCTTACAGACAGGCACTGGTGTTCACACTCATCTGGTTGGACAAACCTAAAACCTACGGATTTGTGCTGCAATATTTCAGAAGGGGAGAAAACAATAGTTTAAGGCAATGACATCAAGACAAGCTTAGAAATAATAAAAATTGACTTCTGTCTCAAAGGAAATGGAGAGTGGAAGTGTATTTTCAGCACATCAGAGAAATCCAAGCGAGAATGAATGTTAATCATTAGGCCAATCGTTATTCTGAAAGTTTTGAAGTTAGCTGCATGTTAATCTCTTCAAAGTGTAATTTATCACCGGGTGATCACTCAGTGCACAGGTGCACAGAGTTTTGCATGTGGAATCAAACCAGTGTTCTGCCAGATTTACTGCCTGCCTTCAGCAGTGCCAGTACCCAGAGAGAACTTCTTCCCAGCCTCCACCATAAAGTGCTTGTGAGACCAGGTGCTGCTTGATGTGGAGGGCAAAGTCAGATTTATCCTTGTGAATACCTCCAGTATCATCTTAAAAAAACATCTAGCTTGCAAAATATAACTCTTTCATCTTCAATCCAACAGGACATCCCAGCTAGTATCTCTGAGCGTGGGCCTTACCTTGCAGGCCTCTATGGGACTTGGCTATGGCATCACCACAGCAGGGCACAGGGGATGCCGGGGTGCCCTTGGCAGAGAGCTCCTTGTATTGGAGCTGCTGGCAAATCAGCCCTTGAGGAAAAAGCATGTGGTCCTTGGGCTTATCCTTGGTGCTGCTCTATGGCAACTGGACCTGGAGAAGAAATGAAGTTTTCCTTGTCCTCGTCTCTTAAACCAGTTCAAGCAGCCATATGGAGATCCAACAGTCTGGAATTTGCCTTAGTCAAATTAATGAAGAGCTTAACCCAATGTGCAATGGACCTCATTTAGACAGGAGACCGTATCAGTGAGTGACAGAAGTATGGAAGTTGAACATGAAGATAGTTTTAGTCCAAGACTGGCTATTAGGACCCAACTCTAGAGGAAGCGACTGCAGAAGTGGTCTTTCATAAGTGGTTAGTGATGATGATGTGGTGCAAAGCAGTCTCTCCTCAGTCTACCCAGAACTCACAAATTGTAAAGTAATATTCTCTGCTATTGTTTGATCCGGAGATATTTTAGAAATAGGGAGGAATTAGTATGTGTGCTAGGGAAAGTGATGTGACTACCAATAAAATGTAGGGAATGCATGGAGTCTTGAAAATGCTGAAACTGGGTACCCAATAAAACCCCAGGGTCAGACATTGACCTGCTCTTCTTTAAATTTATCAAGCTGTCTCACTGAACAAAGGCATTGATGAAACATGGATTTCTATAGCTTTGTGCCTATGGTTATGCTTGTTGGTCTTTAACAAGATGCGAACATTGACTCAAGATTTTTGATTGAAACAGGACACACACACTCGTATGCACATGCTGAGCATGGATGAAGAAGTGCTATTTACTGTAGAAGGCAAGGTTTAAAAAAAGTCATGTAATGGAATATTCACAAAGACAAAGGAAAACATACATTGTAGTATTTGATCAAGTTGCTAGTCCATCTATCTATCTATATATACACATATGACTTTACAAGTACTAATATTTAAAATACATTTCTAAAGTCTTTTTTTTTCAATTTTATGATTATTTTTTTTTTCTTTCTTGAAAGATCAGTAATTGGGTGATGCGCTTTGTTCCCTTCCAACATCCTATTGGATTTGGTCAGTTTAATGAATGCCTTGGCAATTATTTTGAGACTCTTGTGTGTAAGAAGTAGAAAATTCATGGCAGATGTCCATTGAGTATTGTGGCTGCAGTGTGTATCTTCTGCAGTGTATTCTGTGTCCTGAAAAGGGGTTATGTGATAGAGATACGCATCCAAGATATCAGATGGACAGTTTCAAGACAGGGTTATTGGCCTGTGGGCTGTGGTTCTCTGAGGAGCACCCAGATGTCCACACATCCTTGAAAGAGTCTGAATATAAGCTGCCTGTAATTGCCCAGGCTGTGCTCGTTCTGTGAGCACATAGAATGATGAGAGCAAAAACTTGAAGGATAGCCTCTTTGCAAATCAGACCTTGCTTTGACTAGAGGACTGATATTGGTTGCTGGTAGCAGATGGTGTGTACTCAACATCTGCTGGTTGTAGCAACTGCGTGTTCCCTTAGCCTGAAAAATTTACAGATTTTTAAAGTTGGCATTCAGGTTTAAGGCTATTTGTGATGGATTTAAATGAATTCTTTAAGCCTGTGAGCTTAGGAGTGTTAGATTTCACAATCTAAACTTCTATTTCTCATGTTGGTTCGCTTTAAAATATTTTTCAGTCAACTTTTCTGTAGAAACTGGTTTTTAGATTATTATTTTCCAAATATAGGTTTAGAAAGGAAAAATAAGAAATGACAGTTTTTTTTTTTTTTTTTAAATTATTTTTAATATGCTTTCCTTGTTCAAAAGAATAATGCTTGAATAACATATGCTGCAGTCACAGATGCTGAGAAGGAAGCATATAGCTTGCAGAAACCCATATTTATGTGAAAATTAATGTGTGCACCTGAGTGTATGTCTGTAAAAGTAATTGGCGTGACCATTCTTCAGCTATTAAAAGAAGAATTTGTAAGAATTCCCTTTATTTTTTTTTCCCCTGGAAAACTGCTGAAAGGAACTTTTACTACCATTTCTATACAGCTGGGGTTTTAATAGGTACGTTGTAATGCTTTTTAGCATAAATAAGTGGGCTAGTGTTAACAGTTAGTTCCACAGCAACTGTCACAATGCAACTGAAAATTACAATTGAAAATAAGCAAAGCTTTGAAGATCATCACAGACTACAGCTTGAGAATCTCCACTAAGTGATATACTGAGAAGATTATTTTTGAAACAACGTTACAATGTTGATGAAGATAAAATCCCACAGTGTGTTTAAGCAAGATGAGCATTTCCTTCCTTAGAAATGCTTTTCCAAAAGCAGAGATGGAAGAATACCTCCAAACTGGTGAATACAACTATTTTAGGACTAACTTGTAATGTGGTGGTGCCAGTCCGTGCGTGTAAAACTGTAGGCAATGACTGAAAAAAACAGATGATTGGAGCAGTATTTAAACCTGAGTTCAGCCTCCTAAAAATACTCCTTACTCATATTTGTGTATTGACAGCAATTGGTGCATGCTGCTAGGATGAACCAAGCCCGCTTTTTTGTACCTCAGTGTAGACTGTAACTGAAATCTGATGTGTTTTGTGTTATTTCAGTGCTTATTGAAGGAGGAGGAGTTTACTTGTCTTAGGCAATAGTGTCATGGTTTGTCTGGGAACATATGGTTCAATAAGGTCAAGTTTCAAATTAATTCTAGGTTAATTTCAAGATATATATACATGTAAAATGAAATGTGTCCTGATATTATGAATAAATGAATCCTTTCTAAATCATTAAAGAGGGGGAGCTTATGTCAGTATTATAATTTACTGAAGCTATTTGTTTTACTAAAAGCTGTCATCTTTCATCACCGTTTGCCTTCTGATGCCCACTTTGATTTCAGTCCTCCCTGGAATTTCCTGATGGAGGTTTCCACCGTGAATAACTCTGCATCTGCTATATAACATGGAGGATGTATATGTGCTTTGCCACTGACAACAGCCCTTTCTTTTTCTTCTATTTTCTCTTTTAGAATCCAGTTTTTTGTTGGGAAATGCCCAGATTGTGGACTGGCCTGTAGTTTACAGTAATGACGGTTTTTGTAAACTCTCTGGATATCATCGCGCTGACGTCATGCAGAAAAGTAGCACTTGCAGGTAGGTTGTTCACTGCTACTCGATGCACTTCTGTAGTTACAGTCTAGGAAGAAAAATCAGGTTTTGGAAAAGGATCGATAGGAGATCTGTCTTGCAGAAATGAATATACTAGTGGTTGGTGACCCTGCACATAGCAGGGGGGTTGAAACTAGATGATCATTGTGGTCCTTTTCAACCCAGGCCATTCTGTGATTCTGTGATATGGTAAAACAGGCAACTATGTGCATTCAGTTGAGCACTTTGTTGACTGGTGCCCAGTAATAACATAATGACCAGTTTTACCAGGATTAAACAAACTACTCAGATACTTTGGTCCCTTGCTAAAAGTGGGGCGGTTTTTAGAGTCCTGCAAGACTTAATCCTAAATTAAAAGAAAGCTAAATTCCAATATTCTTTTTTTTTTTAATTATTATTATTATTGTTATTATTTATTTAGAGCATCTACAAATTTAATAGGTTTCACTCGAGCCATTATTGAAGTCAAGACAAATCTGCTTGGTTTTGAAATTCCTGTCATCCTCTGGTAATTGCTTAAATGCAGTGAGCATTGCAGTAGTAAAGACTGTTCAATGGAAAAACGTTTGATGAATTTTAGCACTGAATGAGGGTCAACTAGAGGTGTTCCTGAAGCTGGGGTAAATATTTTGAGGGTTTAGACATCATTCTTCACTCATTTGAAATCTGTCCTCATTAATATCACTATGAATGTGTTTTAACGGTCTGGTAAAGAAAGTGATATATACAAGTGATATATTTCAAAGGCAATTTTAGGAGATTTTTGTAAACTTTCATTCTGGAAGGCCTGCATTGTGCTACTCTGTTGCTGGTATTGGTTCCTGTTGTTATACACACACTGAGAGGGCACAGTCATGTGCAAATGGCATCTGTATTCCCAAGAGGGCGATTAGGCTGATGATGTATTTACTCTGAGCATTACAGCTTTATGGTTTGGTTTTTTTTTTTCCCCTTTGTTGGTGGTCTTTCAGGGATGGACAGCTGTGATTTATGGTTGGATGTGCATCTGCGCCTGCTCTGCTGCATCCTTTAAAAGGAAATGCTGTGGGGAAAAACTAAATCTCTAATGCGTGTGTGGGTGGGTGAGGAAAGTAACCAGGAATGGTGGAGGCAGAAAGGAATGACTGAGATACCAGTTCGTGTAGGTTTTCCCTTGATGGCTCAGGGAATGACCAGCTCTAGGGCCCTGGGAATAGTGGGCCGCATATCTGCAGGGGTGAAATGCTGATGTGTGGTCGTGGCTCTTGTTTGCAGGGAAGAGGAAAAGCCGTGGGGGTCCCGTGTTGCTCTGTGCAGCCAGGTGTCCTCCGATGGGCGGTAGAGGAGAGATGGGCACATGCTGCTGACATGAAATATTCATTCACGTGGCAGCAACCAAGTCAGTTACGTGATGGGGCTGAAAAAACAGTGTTATCACAGCTATCCCAAATATGCTTACACTTGCTTTGCTCTTTTAAGCTGGGTCTGTTTCTCTGTGAGCCAGTGCTTTAGCCTGTGCATGTTTAAGTCATTACACACACAAAACAGGATTTTAGGAAAATGTTGGGAATAGCTTTAGCAATACCTCTCTGTTAATAATTCTCCTGTGCCTGTGAGGGGACCAAAAGTTTTAGTTAATCAGAGCGCCCTTTATGAACGTGATGGACTCTATTTGGTGAGCATCCTGTTTGGGCTGTATTCAAGTGAATTATATGGAGGCAAATGCAAGGAGAAATGATCGTGGAAAGTGGATCTGGTAGCGAATATGTATGTACATACATATATATATGTATCTTTTATGTTTTTAATTCTGCATATCCATCTCTGGATTTTGGAGAGACTTCTCTACACTGAAATCATGATCAGCGCCTCTTTTGTGTCTGAGCCTTAGCTGGTGGAGTTATATTTACAGTGTGATATTTCCTGCTCCGTAGGAGACATCCTAGTCATTGCAGAGGAAAGCTGAGCTGGAGAGGCATTCAGCACGGTCTGACAAGCAGCACACACCCTTGCAGAAAATTTCTTTGGGGCTGCTCTCTAATGAAAAGTTGCGTGGCTGTCTGACATGGAAAATGGTCTTGAGGCCAGTAGTGCCTTCTTAGCTTTACTTAATAGAATGCCATCGTAAGTTTTAGGTACCCAGAGCTATTATTTATGTTATTTTCCAAGTCAGATTCTCAGTCCTGATTTGCTGTGTTGGACTGAGATTGTTGCATTATGCATAAGAAATAATTTATACAGAATGTTTGCTTTCCTGTTCTAAGGCAAATGTTATGGGATAAGAGCGTTGTGATGCCACACTTTTATTACAGGATTTGATAGGATCTGTTTCTAGAGCTCGTTAATGCCAAAAATCCAACAAAAGAAAAATACACAGATAAAATCAATGTCAATCCAGACCTTGATACAAATTGTTATCTACTTATCATAGGTGTGATACAGGAAAAAAATTATTTTTCAATTACTTGCCCTTGCCTATAAGGTATAGCAACTTCGATTTTCACCCATGCTTTTCTCCTGAGTAGTCCAGCAGTATTCATTATATCCTATTTATGTCTGTCACATGCCATACCATACACTGGGGCTGCTCATTTGTTGTGATGTTCAGTCTTGATTGATACTGGAATGGACGCGTGGCATTGCATTTGTGAATGATTTTTGATCCAGCTCAGGCAGCCAGGTAGTCCCATAGCCAGCTGGTAATCCCTCTGATTCTTGCACTTCTCTCATCTTTTTAATTAGCAACAATATGTGCATTGGCAGGAAAATCATGCTGAAATAGCTCAATAGAGGTGCCAGTCTCTTAGTTTCAGGGGCATTGTATAAAAGGCAAGGTACATATCACGCTTCCTGAATGTTGCATGATGGGATGGGTCAGTGTGCGTTCTTTCTGGGAGCACAGTACACCAAAAATTGCAAAAATGGCTGGAACAGAATTTATCATGTAAGTGAATGCTAAAATGCATGAGAATTTTAGCTGGAAAAACTTGTGTGCTTGTGTTGTGGTGCCAAATGGAAAGGAGCTGCCAGTTCAGAAGGAAATGGGAGGGCATCTGCAATTGCAACACCTCTGACATTCAATTAACTGCAAAACCCTTGTCTGAAGGTGTGCTGCTAGATTAACCAGCGTGTAGGAGAACCACTTGTTTCATGCCCAGTTGCCCATAGATATGACAATTTATACGTGATGAGTACATAGAAAGAATGAACAGCTCTAGGCCATTAAAACCCTATTAAACACCACAAATAATATCAGTGTTTAAAATTATTTCTTCTCAGTTAAGTTCAGTCTTCCAGGCAAGCCTTCAGAAGGGCAGACACCCTTAGGTGGCTGGTTAGAAGATCTGCCCTGCCATTTTGCACTTGGCTTTTGCCCCAGGCTTTCTTCTCCTTACCCTTCCTTGCACCTTGAGCCTCAGATCAGCATGGGAATAGCTCGATGCTGCTTTTGTTTTTAATGAGGAAACTTGCTCTGAGACCCGTTTGTGTGTTGCCTTCCAGCTGTACAGTGGGAGTAAATTGGATCTGCTTGCTGCAATTGTTTACAGGTTGCATTTCCACTGAAACACTTGCACGGCTCTGCTCAATGTCTCTGTTCTCCCTTGTTTTGATTTACTGCCACAGCAAGTGAGATAAAATGTCTGGGAGTCCTGGCTTCTGTGGAGCTAATGGCAAAATTCCCACCTTGCTCAAAGAAAAGGGGTTTTGCATTTTGGGTACAGTGTGCCAGACTTGAGACAAGTTAAATTTGATAGTGGGATGTTGCCTCTGTTAACAGATCTACCTATATGAGAAGACCCTCTGCAATGCCAAAGCTGTGTACAAAAACTTTTCTGAGCTCAACAGTGAGACCCAAGCACCTGCCTTACTTCTCCTTGGGAAAGAAGCCTGCTCCTGAACTCAAAGAATTGTGGGGCTATTGAAACATAGAACAGTATTTGCTATTCCTCTTGAGTAGACCTTGGTTGCTTGTAATTGATGTCTTTTCATCCGATACTTCTGGATAAACAGAGCTGTTAGCTGGATGTGGGTTCATATTCCTTCCATGTTTAATCTGCCCTCTTATCTAGTGAATTGAAATAGCCACAAACACCACCCTGGCATGCACTGCATACAAGGAGCTGCTCCAGTGATGCTTTTCTGGATCCTAACAAGGAAAATGGAAGCACAGTGCAAAGCTTTAGATGTGGCTTTTGCATGGAGGGATGCTTTCAGTGGAGGGCAGGAGGAATGGCATCTGAAATGGCAAATGGCCTGTTGCAGAGATGGGGAAGATTATGTAAGATTGTTTCTTTCTCTGAGTATTTCAGTAAGCTTTGTTTCTCTTGTTTCTCTTTGATAAGTCTGTTTTCTAGATAGTAAGATCCCCAGTAGCAGGCTGGCTGGCTTTTATATTTATGTCTTGTACAGTGTGCACTGAAGGAACTTGACAAGCAATAAATAACAAAAATATGAGGCAGAAAAAGACAGAGTGATTGACTGAAGAAGTAGGAGTCCCTCCATGTATACAAAATAGGACAGATTAAATTAAACCTACGATAAGCACAGATCTTATATAACTTGCACAGTGATTGGCTTGAAGGCCCTTTTGGTGCCTGCTAGTAAAAAATTGGTTTCTGAAAAATAGTTATTTCCTTCCGCAAGCCTTTTAAATACCTCTTTATACATGAAAACAATGCAAGATTTGAATTTTACAGATTTATGGCAATAATAGGCTGATACTAAAACATAAAGTTGATTAAATTTTTAATTCATAGAATGGTTTTAGTTGGAAGGGACCTTAATGATCGTCTAATTCCCACCCCTCTGCTGTGGACAGGGCTGCCACTCACTATATAAGGCTGCCCAGGGCCCCATTCTACCTGGACTGGAATGCCTCTATGGCTGGGGCACCCACAGCTCTCTGGACAGCAGTGCTGGGGCTTCACTGCTCTCTGAATAAAGAATTTCTTCCCAACATTTAACCTAAATTTTCCATTCCAGGAGCCTTCTCTGCTCCAGACTTAACAAGCCCAGCTCCCTGCAGCTTTTCTTCATAGCAGAGATACTCCAGCCCTCTGAGCATCTCCGTGGCCTTCCTCTGGTCCAGCTCCAACAACCACACCCCTCTTGTACTGGGGGCCCCAACCCTATATACAGTGCTCCAAATGGGGCCTCATGGGCAGAACAGGGGGGAATGGTCTCCTCCCTGCCCCAGCTGCCATCCCTCCATTGATGCAGCTCAGGATACTGTTGGCTACAAGTACACACTGTGGACTCATCCAGCTTTCCACCAGGTAGACCTAACGTGTAGGTCAGCGCTTGTAGCATTATGGATGGTTTGACATATTAATGGTAATCAATGACAACTTTCTGTATTATAAAGCCATCTGAAGTCATACGCTTTAGCAAATTTTCATTATTTTTTTCCTTTGAGACTTAAGAAAAATGTTTTTAAGCCTTGAGATGACAAAAAAAAACAAACCCAAAAAAACAAGAGACCCCTCCCCCAGCTCTTATTTTGTCTTGCAGATTTGAGCAGTCTTCTTTACCTCATCAGTGCACTGAAAAGGGTTAGATTTAAAAAGAAAAGCATTCAAACTTTTGTATGTTGCCAGCTCGTGTATAAAGCACTATTGGCTGAGCTGCTAAAGGAAAGGCAGGCCATTTGAAAGCGAGCAGCAAGCTGTGTTTTGCATTCCCTGAAGAGAACTATGTGAGTTAGTGACATGTGGTACCTTAATGAAGCCTCCTCCCCAGTAGTGTTCTGTCCTGACATCCATCACTGCAGAGACATCTCCATTGCTGTGCTGACCCAGGGCTTACAACACCATATTGTGGGAGCAGCCCTATCACTTCCCTGAGCCAGTTGTAGAGAAAGGATTCACCATCCAGCCTTCATTGAGTATTTGAATGTTTGCCAGGGCTCTAATCACTGTGTTGTTTTATTGTTTCTTTCAGAACAGTGGGCATAATATAAATATTTATTGAACCTCTGAAGGTCTGTTGATCAATAAAAAGGGAAGCTGGATTTAAGCCGCAGCAGCACTGATAGCCTTTCTTTTTCCCTCTCATATTCATAGGGCTGTGTGTTGTAGGTTTCAGCTGGAGCTCAAAACGTTTGTGAACAAAGAAGATGGAGGGGGGGAGTCTGATCAATGAGGATTGTATTCATCCAAGTGTCTGAAAGCTTTTATGCCATGCTCCATTTTCCTTCAGTTCTATAATTGGGAATTTGCACAGAGCAGTCTTCACCTATTTTTAATCCAGGGGAGATGACAAGAAACGCCTGGCTGTTTTCTCATAAAGGCTTTCACAAGTAAGGTCATTGCGGGTGGGTTAACTTGCACCAGTTGAAAGTCTGACCTGGAAAAGAGAGCAAAGATGAAGTGGTCAAGGTGCAAGAAATAGCAGGGCTAAATTTAGGTTTTTCTAATCTTTGTCTGGAGAGAGATGAGTCTTCAAAAATATTTCAATGTTTTTCCATATTTTCAGTGAAATATTAAAGAAATGTGGTACACCGTAAGAAAAAATGAGAGTGTGTGGTTATCTTTAGAAGTAATGCAGATATAGCTACAGTGGGACAACTCTGGGTGAATTCTCAGACAATTGCAGTAATTAGTTCTTACTGGGTAATTCCTACCTCAGTTTGTAATTGGTATTTAGATAAAGGATTCTGATCCTCTTGTCCCAGATGCATGTTGGCAAGATTAGATCTGCAACCATCAATATTGGGTCAGCTGACAGCTGTTACCTGTTGCAGGTCCTTGTCTTCCTTCAGCATCCTTTTCGAGGACTGAATGAAATTTGAGATGTTTTAAAGGTTTTGTTCAGTAATCTTCAATTTCACAGCAATATTCTCATGGCCTCAAGCTGTGGCAATAATGGTTTTATAGGCTATCAGCTCTTTTTCTAACAATATGCCCTTAAAGATACGCTCAGAAAAGCACTTAATGAAACATTAGATGACAGCAAATACATCTACTTTACATAAAAAAGGCAGTGATGGTTACTTACTATTGTAGGTTTTGTAACAGCCTTGCCACACTAACTATTTAAATGAAAGTAAATGATAGTTAAACTATGGTAAATGACAGTGAATAGCATCCCCAATGGCTATGCAGTCTGAGGTGGCTGCTTGTTGTTTTGCTTGTCTAGGAAGAATAGAAAAATGTTTTTTTTTTCTTTTTCAGTTTTATGTATGGTGAACTGACAGACAAGAAGACCATTGAAAAAGTCAGACAGACTTTCGACAACTATGAGTCAAACTGCTTCGAAATTCTCCTCTACAAGAAAAACAGTATGTATACATTTGTGTATTGTGTTGGGAGTGATAATGTGTATTTGTTATATGTCTATTTATACTGTGATATAATATATCAATGATGCACTATGTGTGTATATATATGTATCACTGTTGTGATAGCGCAAGGGGAAATGGTTTCAAACTGCAAAGTGCAACAGGTCTGGATATAAGAAACAAGTGTTTTACAATAGGGGTGGGGAGGTGCTGTTGCAGGTTGCCCAGAGAGGTGATGCAGACACACAGGGTTAGGCTGGACAGGGCTCTGAGCACCTGATAGAGCTGTGTGGCTGTCCCAGTTCACTGCAGGGGGGTTGGACCAGATGGCCTTTAAGGGTCCCTTCCAACTCAAAATGATTCCATGATAAAGTGCTATAATATATTTAATATATGCAATGGGTATATATGTATATTATAATATATAGAGAAGTGTATAACTATATACCAGATTAAAATAGTCATTTTGACATACAGATAAATTACGGGACAAGATGCGGGGAAGGAATGGGCTTTTTGGTCATCACTGCGCAGGAAAGCTCTTTTTTAAAGCAGAACAAGTGTTCAGATTGCCAGGGCTAGCAGGGGTTACCTGTATCTCAGATCTGAATCCTTGTTTCCACAATATGTTTAATTTTGAAGATTGTATTCTGAAAGGGAATCTGACTGGGTTTGATGAGGAGAAGAAATTCTCAATGAAGTTTCCCCTCAGGAAATATCCCCAAATGTGCAGAAGTAAGAAGCCATTCCCTCATTTTGTGAGTGGTTGCTCCCAGTGGTGGAGATGCCTCTGAGCTGTGAGGCTGTGGAAAGCAGTGGTGAGCCCTGAGGAAAAAGCTGGCTATGCCTGATTGTCCTTTTCACTGCAAACTCACATAAACCCTTAAAAACATTGAAGAGAGCATGCAGGATACCTCAGCTTCTCAAAACATACTCCTGTGCCTAACTTCTACCTTTCCTTTTTAAACTAAATCTTCTTGTATGTGCACTTAAATGATAGGAAGCATCTTCAGATTTCTGCAATTCTGCTTGCTTTGAAGCATCTTAGTAAACACTAATTAAAAAGAGAAGCAGAAATGGTTCTGAAGTCTGGCTGCTCCTATAAGTGCCTGTGATAACTCTCCAAGTGACCTCCTTTCAGTTCCTTGGCATATGGACGTATTCCCTAGATTCTGTGTCTACCTGCCCAATTCCTGTACAAGTCACCTGGTTACCCTCTCACATTATGGAGATTTTGTGGGACAGACCCCAGTTCTTTGCAGGTGATGGTGCCCAGCACCACCAGGCCTGGTGTCCAGGTGTTTGCAGGAGAAGATTTCAGCCTTTCCCCAACCCTGGCTTCTCTGTTAAATTAGAATGGTAGCTCCTGCTTGGCATGGGCCAGTTCTGAACCAAGTTCCTTTTCATTATATTTAAATATAAAAAGTGGAAAGTCTTCCCTTGGTCATCGTTCTTGTTCATTGTTGATTTTTTGCCCTGAGTTGTAGATTGCCTGCTTGATCTTGATGGTGTTTTAGGGATTTACTGAGCTGCAGTTGCCTTAATAAAATATTCACCTTTGCCCAAATCTCTAAGCCTGCACTTTCTGTAAGATGGGTAGGATTACAGAATGACCTCATGAACAAACACTCATTTTTTCTTTTTAGTCTTGAAAAAATACCCAGCCATAATATGTTGCCAGCTTCTTCTCCATTGCCCAACGCCCAGAACTTCAGCCTCTTGCTAACACCTAGTACATAGGTTCACCTTTTGGTTCCAGTTCAGCAACTGGCTTGCATTGGATTTGCTTCCATCTGTCACACACCAAGCTTTGTGAAATAAGGTTCTTCAAGAAACTGTGTGCTTCTCTTCCAGGCTGAGTATTGGAGCAGACAGGAAATAAACAATAGTATCTGTTGGTATAGTATACTTCTGAAAAATTTAGAGTTACTCTGTATAAAGGCTTGTGTTTATCACCTGCAGAGACCTTGTACTGCTTCTCTCCTGTGCGGAGCTTGCAGTGCTCACCAAGCACTTTCCCACCTGGTGATGATGCAGTGGCACAGACTGCCCAGGGATAGGTGGAATCGCTGTCCCTGGAGGTGTTCAAGAACTGTGGAGATGTGGCACTGAGGACGTGATCAGTGGGCATGGTGGGGGTGGTGTGTGGGTTGGACTAGATGATCTTAGGAGCCTTTTCCAACCTTAATGATTCTATGATTATGTAAGACTGTAGCTCCAGAAGTGCTATATATTTTTATTTGTACCACAGCTTTTCCTTTCTTATTCATTCCTTTGTGTTTTCAGCAAAGGGAGATCTTGAAATCGAGAAATTCCTTTCTATCCTCCTGTCCTTCAGCACAGTGATGACCTTTCAGAGCTGTCGTTCTCAGGCTGCATACATAGGGCTGCTGCCTTCACATGCATCCTTAGTTTTTAACCTAGTTAGCAGTTTTCAGGTGCAGATCTTCAAGTTTGCTACAGATTTCTTCTGTTTTACTGCATTCCTTCTTGTATAGCTCTCAGCTCTACCCACCTAGCTATTCAGCAGCAGTGTAGGCATGTACATGTATACATGTAACACTTGGGAAACTGCCTTGCCTGCTTTTGAGCTCCTGCCCAGATTGCATTTTCTACAGCACTACCTACCTTGCCTCTGTCTTTGATTTTTAGCAGTGCTGTTGTACAGGTTATTTTGCCTACTTTTGGAGCTTTTCAAAGGGTGCTGTTGAGTTGCCAGGTAAAAATGAAAGCACAGCATCACTCCAGAGATCTGCAGCACTCTTTCTTAGAATATATGAAAAGAGCGTTTTATCTTGGGTTAGCCACTGGGAATAGAAAGAGCCAAGTAATCAGCATAATGGCTCTGGAATTACCACCAAAAGCAGTCTCCTGTCTCACTCACCTCTCCAGTTTGCTGTCATTGAGTTATTGCTTTAATCCCAATAGAGCAGTGCTGAGTTTTACCATGAACCCTTGTGGATTTTGACTTTCTCTACAGCAGTCCTGTTCTGAGTGGGTTTTGTTGCCCTCTGGGTGTCCATCACTCGGTTCCTGGCACAGCTCCCAGATGGATATGGTATACTAGAGGAGATTTGGAGGGGCCAGCAATGCCCTGGGATGTCAGGGAGTGAGCAGCTTGTTTCAGCGTGCCAGCGCTCAGGCTGGCATTCAGACAGCTTAGGAGAAAAGCCATTATATCACCTGACTGAAAGCACATCAAATCCGAAAGCTGACTGTGAAGGCATTCGTTGGGCAGCAAGTGGAGGTGTCGTAAAGCTGGGAACATGTGGGCTTGGAGTTTTGTCTGGTGGCATGCAGCTCTGACACTCATGTCTTTGCAGATGAACAGGGAACTTCTCAACGAATGTTTGAAGTCTTTTAGGGTTTTGCCCATTTGCAGAGCAGATCTGCATGTACTCGTGGAGCCTGTCGCAATGAGAAAATGGAGGATGTCACTATAAACAGGAAATCAAATCTGCTTATTTGTCTAGTTAGGGCATTTAGATGCCTGAATTAGTTTGAGTTCTCTTAAATAACAGAGTAGCATCAAGTTGGATATTAGCCATTCAGATCAGATACAAGGAAAAATTTCTTCTCGGGAAGAGTGGTGAAATGTTGGCACAGGCTGCTCAGTGAGGCAGTGGAGTCACCACCCCTGGAGGTGTTAAAAAAAACTGTGGAGATGTGGCACTGAGGGACATGGTCAATGGGAAATGTGGTGGGTATGGGTTAGGTTGAACTGTATGATGTTATTGTTCTTTTCCAACTTTAACGGTTCTATGACATTTCAAAAGCATTTGGCAGTGTACTCCATCAGTTTTGGTTTTGGTAGCTTCATATTATGTGAAGAAGCATTCAAAGATGTCCTCAGTCTGTTTTTTTTTTTTTCTTACCTGGCTATCCTGCACAGAGACATGGTGGGGAAGACCAAGAGCAAGTTCTGTCTCTTGTTATGGACTAGTTAGATTGGTAGCATCACCCCCATTCAAATTTAAGAATGAGAATAGGTTGTTTTCCTTTGAGGAGGTAAAATGAAATATCTGGTATGTGTAGTTTAGGATCACATCTTGGTATTACTACATGTGTTTTATATGATTTATAAATTATCCTATGGACAGGCTGGGGGAAGATTGTGCTACACCACAGTCCAATGTCACCTTTTTGTCACCTTTTCTACAGGAACCCCAGTTTGGTTCTACATGCAAATTGCTCCTATAAGAAATGAGCATGAAAAAGTGGTTTTGTTCCTGTGCACTTTTAAGGATATCACTTTGTTCAAGCAACCAATAGAAGACGATTCAACAAAAGGTAAATATGAAATACACTATTTTGTTTTGTTTTTGTAATTGGTTAAGTACATGTTCAGACTTAGTCATGTCTCATGGCTGTGATCTGAATCGTGCTTTCAGAATTGTTTTGTGACATGTCAGAGTTTAGATGCCGTTTTTGGAAATGATTGATTAGAATTGAAAAGTAAATCATTGTGAGCAGAATATTCCCTAACAATGTTTCGCCAGAGCTGCAAACCTTTTAACTTTGTAATATCAATTTTTCTTCACCATGGCTAGTATTTGCTAAAAGTGGCATGATTTTTAGTTACTGTAATACTATGTTGCTTTGGGAGACCTTCTACAAAACTTCTGTTTTCTATTTATCAAAAATGTCAACTTATTTGCTTTGAAGTGTTGGTCTTACCTCCCTTTCTTGTTATTGGAGCTGAGATGCAGAACAAACAGCCCATCTGGGTATCTTTTTGCTGACCAGCCATGATGTCTGTATGGCAGTGGATGTTCTGCTTGTTTTTGATAGCTCTTGCTGGTGATGGTTGCTGAGGCATGCAATGCTCTCATCACCTGATGACCCATGTTGAACAGAGAAAATTGGTGGGCGAAAAGGTGCAGAGGATCTGGCAACGTTCTGTGCTCTGATTGTAAGATGCATGACTGGTGTCTTATGTATATTGCTCTGGATAAAAGAATGTGTGCTCCCATAAGCAAGGACATTCTTACGGTGGAATCCTTACCCCATTTTCTCTAGGAAGTTGTCTTCTAGTAATGAATTCCTTGCTCTGTTTTTCTCTTTGTGCTTGTAGAAGGCTTGATTTCTCACTGAGAGCCATGTGCCCTTTGAGATGCTGCCTTTAGGATAAAACTCTTGTCATTTGAATGCAAACAATTTAAGTTGCTTTCTGATGATATGTAGGTAACACATGCTTGGGTAACTGAAATGTAGATTGAGAAAGTCATACTTGAAAAGCCTCTCTTTGTTCTAACACCTAAAAATAAGACTTTTTTTTTTTGCCTACAGAGTATTATCTGTGAGTTATAAGATCCAGATATAGGAGAACCTTCTCAGCCAGCATAAGTTTTACTGCTTCTACAATTCAGTTGGTATCCTGCAAATGTTCCTTTGGGTTCTCAGCCTGGGAGGTTTGTTCTCTGGGTAGGGAGAGATGTTCTGCGGATGCTGAGTTCATCCGCTCCCCATCTTGTGGTTGAGGAAGAGCAGAATCCACCTGGCATCCATTATGGAAACAATATGTGTTCCTATGGGAAAGAGCAATAGCTGCAAAGTAAGTAATGAGTCTAATGCTGTGAGTCTCCAGTGAGGGGAACCATTAGTTACAGTGTCAAGTATCAACTATGAACATTGCAAAATATTGTCATCAGCAGCCAGAGAGGTTTGACTGCATGTTTAAAGAGCTCTTACTTCTGTAGAAGTTGTACTTCAAAAACAAAACAAAAAAGCAACAACCAAACAAAATAAACAACAAACAGTACAGCTACATCTGTCTTTAAGGCATACAATTAGAGCCTTAAGAATTTCCTTGGAGAACTCTGATTACAGCATTGATTAACATTGATCAATACGTCCAGCAAACTCCATAATTACAAACCACTGACCTGACTGTTTTCTTCTCCTTATGCGTATTTTCTTCTATTTTTGCATAAATTAGAGTTTCTTTTATATTGACAATATATTAAAATATCATATTCAAATATTAACAACATTTCACTGCTGGAAAAGCAGCACCGTTGCAGTACAGTTTGCATTTCAACTGGGTGGATCAGCAGGATCCCACTGCACTGGGATCACAGCCTTGTTTTGTCAGAGGTAGTGCTGTGAGATATGCATAATTCATTGTCCTTGCAGATAACATTACAATGTGCTTAGAAGCTGTCAGGCCACTTTCTTTTTGAATTATGAGATTGGTAAACATATACATTACAATTTAGGGGAGAAATTTTCAACTTTTGTAAAAAGGTTTTTTGATAGGATTGTGCTGTTAAGTGCTGGGATTTGTCATTGGAAGGGCTATTTAAAAAAGAAAAAAAAAAAAAGATTTTCCTTTGGAAATTCTGCCAGGACCATGCAATACATAATACATAAGTAACTATGGTGCAGATGAGTTACTGTCTATTACTTATGGGAGCAGTAAATTTGAGATAAAAAATTCAACAGAAATAAAATATTGATGCCATTATGCAATAATCTCCCCATACCAATGCATTCTGCCCTGTTTGAATGTACGTTGCTTTGTTGTAAAGCTTCAGTGTATCACACTCCTTGGAGGTACAAGGATTTGGTATTTAAATCATTACAGTGGGTGTAGCTCTGCTGCAGGATGTCTGCATGTCAATAAATGGTTGTGCTTGCTGGCCACACTTGTGGCTGCAAAACAGTTGGTGTGTGATGCCCTCCTTTCTTGGGCAGCTGCTGTTTTGGGGAACCAGCAGTGGTGCCTCCATAATAAGGATGCAGACATGTTCAGAGGTGTTGGGGAGCTTGTCCTGTTTGTGAGAACAGGACATTAAACCAAAATATTCATCTTACTGCAGAATATCCTACACCCACCTTGCAAGGCAGAGGTGGGATTTTTGCCCAACATAGTCTCAAAACCACGACTGCTGAAAGGCACAGCACAAAAAATATAGTTGATATCACATGGACTGGCCCTGTGGTAGGGAAGGGAGTTGGAGAGGGCTGGGGCACTGTGACAGATGGTGGGTGTCTGCTTACCTGTGTGCTCACATTTGGCTGTGCTCATGCTGTCAGAAAAAAGGGAGGAGGAGGAGGAGCAGGAACAGGAGCAGGAGGAAGGGGCTGTGCTTGCAGGAGGGAGCAAAAGGGGAAAAATGTTCCAGGTCACCCAGCAGGCTGTGAATTTATTGCTGTCCAGAAAGCTGTTGAAGATTATGGGACTGAAAAAGCATGACTGGAGAAAGGGAGTATTTAAAAGTTACCCTCCTCAGGTAAAATACATTGTCAGAGATCAGAAACCTCAATTTTCTGAGCATACAGTGAGTACAACAGTGAGAATGTGACGGACTTATTTTCCTGACCTATCATGTGGGATACTGTTATAAAACACAGAGCAGTTTATTTGTTATTCTGCTAATCCCACTGACACAGAGATGTTAAGCGCCTTGGATTCCTTCTGATTCTCCCTCCACCCCTCCAGGAGCATGCATACGCCTCTATAGAGTTACAGAAAATGAAGACAAGACTGAAACACCCAAGCAGTGTTTTAGCCAGTATTTAATAAGCGGTGTTAACAGTGACCAAAAAGTAGTTGTATCCTCATAACTGGGAAGAGTCTGACTGTGAAAGCCTAATTAATAGGCTGAAGGGAGGCCTCTTGGTGGTCTGCAGCTCCTCACAGGGAGCAGAGACACACCACTGAGCTTTGCTCTTTGTGACAGCAACAGGGCTCAAGGGAACGGCATGGAGCTGTGTCAGGGGAGGGCAGCTGGGGGTGAGGGAAAGGCCAGTGGGAATGGAGCAGGCTGCCCAGGGTAGTGGGCACAGCCCTGAGCTGCCAGTGTTCAGGAAATGCTTGCATGCTGTCCTCAGACATAGGGTTTGGGTTTTGGGTGGTCCTGTGTGGAGCCACGGGTTGGGCTCAGTGATCCTTGTGGGTCCCTTCCAACTTGGGATATTCTATGATTCAGTGATTCAAAGTCCGCAAAACCAGCATCTCATGTAGAAGTGGTTAAGGCAGTGATAACAGAAGGAGACATCAGTGATACACAGGGTGTGTTTACTCTTGGATGAAGGTGCCACCAGCAGTTGTGTAGGTGCAGAGAGAAGGGACAAGAGCGATCTGTTGACTTGTTTGATGGTTTGTAGGCTTGTGTGTTGGTGGCTACGTGAATTGTAATCGGTGGCAGCATGGAAGGAGAGGTGAGAAGACTAGTGATGGGGCAGGGAGGTGGGGCAGGCGTGATGGTGGTCACCAGGACAATCCATTATTTGCCACTGAAAGAGCTGTGCTGTGTTTTGTCTGCTTTTTCTTTCCTTGTACCTCTTTGGTAATATGAACATTTATCTGATCTGGATTCAGTACTGGGCAATAGGTCATAATAGGTCATATCTGTGGTGGTGAAGAACCAGCTCTCCAGGTGTCCGGACTGAACGCCTTACACAGCAGAGGTGGAAGGCCATTACAAGCATATGAAGGTATTTTCTTCCAGAGCATAAAACCCAAAGAATCTTCTCTTTTATGTTTGTACCATTCTAGGGTCACAGTTGGATGCTTTTACCAGCTTGCTGTGCTCTTATTCTGCCTTTACCTAGTGGCCTTTTCAAAGCATCTGAAAGCATTCAGCCCCTCCAAAGGCACACAGTGGTAATAATCTTATGTTTATTTGTCATAAAAAAAAAAAAAAAAAAAAAAGCCATTTTTCTAGGCCCTGTTAGGAGGGCAAATTGGTCCACTTAAAATTTTAACACAGTTTAAAGCCAAGAATACTGTAGATGATATTAAACTGAAAGTTTAAGGAAGGAAGAAGGCTGGAATTTTTTTTTAGGTTATGGTGAAGTGCAACCTAGTTACACAATAGCTTTTTTTCCATTGTTATCACCAGTGAAAGAAAAACATGGCCTTCAGGTAAAGTTAAAAGTTTGCTTGCCTGGGATTCTCACTGGTTGTTTTGAGTCTCTTTTGAAAGAAGTATCAAGTTTTTCTGCAGCTGCAATTGGCTGGGAAGTTCCTGTGAATACTGATGGAGATGGAACCTTTGATTAGGGTGCAACAATGTGCTAATGAGGCTCCTACAGCTCTGGACTGCGTGCCCTTAACAGATGGGATCTGGAGATGGCACAGCAGTATCCTAAAGGGTTTTTTTCATGGTACTGCCAGACTTTGATAATCAAGACTGTCTGGGACAATGCTCTACTGCTTCTAGTGATGTAACTCTTTATGGTTATATAACTTCATATAATGATACAACTGTATCTCAGAGTGTGACAGGGCTATAAAAAGTGTGCCAGTTGCAGAAATACGCACTTACACGCTTGCTAATCCT